TTTTCTTTTTTTTTATTCTGGGCCAGCTTTAGCTCTGAGGCCTCGCTGCTGAAAACATGGATACAATGTTTCGGTCCGGCTGGGTTTCAGTCCGGCTGTTTTCTGGGGGTTTGTTTACCTTCTTATTTGCAACATAGTATATAGTTGCTTAGAGTTGCAGATGAGAGGCTGGCAAGTGAGGCAGGGAACATTGGAGTCTGCAGCAAGCAAGCCTCGTGCTCGCTTCAGTGCCTGGCTGCCGGCCGACATCTTGGCTGACAGTTAATTTGCATATACTCACTGATTAGCCAATGAAAAGGGTAGCGGTCGTACACCAATTACCATGTTTCTCTTTTATTAGTGTAGATGTTGTAAACATATCTTATTAAGTTTATATCTATTACTGCACTTATTTTGTCAATGATGCCAGTGATCTTTTGTGTATAACCTATAACAATTGAAAGTGACATAAGTCAGATATAAATGACTATGAATATTCTTCTCTTACAGTTATTTTTAACAACATATTAGGAAGGAAAAGAAGGTGAAATCAGCTTTGGAAAACTTCACAAGTCGAAAAATAGATGTCTGATCCCAGAAATTTATATGTTCTTGATAAAATTGGACTTATAATCCATATTCACTTATTTATTCAATAAATATATATCGGGCATTTGCTATGTACCAGGCACTGGTCAAGGCACTAGGAAAAAGCAGTGAATAAAGCAGTCTTAGATTCCTATCCTCCTGAGGCTTACTCAAAAGTGTTTAAGAAAATAGTTTGTCTTTAGAGGCAGCATGACATAGAAGGAAAAGGCCATGACTCCAAGTAGTAATGAGTTCTGATTCCAAATCCAGACTCTGCCAACTACTATTCATATGAACCTTAAGCAAGTTATCTCACCTCTTAGAACCTCAGTTTCCATACCTGTGAAATGGGATGATTCCATCTTTCCAGGGCTGTCGTGAAAATTCAGTAAGTTGGGGTGAGTATAGCTAGTACCTGAGCATGGTACTTGGCACTTTGAAGACACTCAGGAAAGCCAGGTCTTTCTTGGATCAAGGAAGAAGGCACACATTCTAGAAATATATTCATGGATTTCTTCTTCAACAATGATGTTTTCCACATAGTCTCATCACCAACTTTACAAATCCCCAGTGCATCTGATGAACCTTTCTCGTCAACCTGGCTGCCTCCAAATCTGTAAAGGTGACAGGGTTTCACACTTCACTTTCTCACTGTCAGACTCACTGCATGTTGTGAAAGAGCGCCACCTAAAGGTCCTTATGAGACACCTTCATATGCACTAAACCTCCTTTCCTTGGTTATAAAAGACTTTTTGGTGAGCAGTGCTCTTAAATAATCATCACTGTTGTGCCAGTATCTATGGCCCCGTAATAAAAGGTACACAAGCACAGGAGGAACCCAAATGATTTATCAAGTCATCTACATCTGGTCCTAAAAAAAGCCTTCTTTTTTTCTTTTTTAGATATTGTAATCTAAATCATTTTAATGCCCGGAACATCAGTGGAAGTCATCTTGAAGAAACACTTCTCCTCCATGAAAAGTCTCTGAAATTTTATGGGAGTACACGGGAATTTTCTTCCAGTATTGATCTCTGGGAGACAGCCCTATGAAACTATATTTGACTCCACCTGTCTTATGAGCAAAGTATTCATTGTTTTCCTCAGCTGAACACTTTATGCATTTTAGTTTGAGCTGATATGTATGGAATGCCTTTATGAATACTATTTGTGTACATTTACAAAGACTAATTATGACTCTAATAAATTAGTATGATTTTGCATTCATATGCTATCCATTAGAATACAGTAATTTCAAAGTCTAAGTGAATACAACAACAAAATGACAGTTTCCCATACATCATAATATTTCACAACTTTTTACAATGGTTCAGCCATTAAAAGCAACATATGTGGTATTTTTTGGAGTTTAGTAAATGTGCCATTAAAATCAAAATAACAGTATGTTAGTTATATTCTTCCTTTTAATATATTTATTGAGCATTTATTATATGCCAGGCATTGTGATTGTATACTATGTCTGAGCAAATACTAAATCTACATGTGATTTGACTATAGTGGATCTTGATGTTACACTATCAAGATGTGAACTAAGGAAATTTTCTCAGAATTGAAATGCAATGTTACTAAAATAAAGAATTTTAACAAAAAGCAGATACCCACATGCTGAAGAAGTTATAAAATAAATGTAAGTGGTACAAATACTGAGCTTAAAGGAAAGAAAAAAATTAAGGAAGGTTAAATGAGTGCTGAGAGGAGAGCAACAGGTCAAATCAAATAGAGATGCTTACAGGGTCCCCTAACCCAAATGACATCTTTGAGTCACCATTGCTACCAATTCAAACACATTCAGAAAAATGTCTTCCAAAAGAGATTTTTCTTATATAGGCAAAAATATGTGAAAACTCGTTTTCTAAAAAAGTAAATAAAACTACCACGCCATATCTTCGTAGCAGTGCATGTCCAATTTTGATTGAAGACCACCTGCTTAAGGAGAACCTTCTGGCCCCTACCACAGACTGCCTTAACCCCAATCTTTTTCCAAGAATCAGTGGTTTAAACAAACACACCTGAATTATTTGTTAAGTTCCCCAAAGCTTGAGTAAGCACCACTGCCTTTCAGGACAGTTCATGTTGGATAGGTTAGGCGGGTTTATCAGCCGATTGCAAATGATTCTGCAATTAAGCACCCTCCCTTGTGTATACCTAAATTATCTTAGATCTGTAGAACAAAAAATTTATTCATCTTGATTAGGAATGATATGCATTTTTTATTGCAAAAGAGCAGCTGTAAAGCACCAGGTGTTTCTCTTACTCAAAGAATATTTTGTTCGTTGGCTTGTTTTAGGGACAAGTGGAAAAAAAAACAAAAAAAAAAAACACCTAGCTCTTACGGACATCAATTCTTGCCCTATAATTTCTTCCAGTCATCTTCTAGCATTTGTTCTCTGACAAAACAGTGAGGCCAACCCCTGATAGGCCATAGACGCTTTCTTTGTTACAGAGGGTTAAATGCCAAGTTTGCAACTTGAGTTTAATGAACACCCAAAAGATCAAGACAACTTTACTAGTAAACACCTCACCTTAGTACACGTGAGAAGCTCGAACAGTCTCTCTCATCATTAGAAAAAGGGTCTTATTTTGTTATTTGTTCCCCCAAAATGTGCCTTCCTCTCTTAATTTCTACATCATGACAGAAAAAAAAAGTGCTCATTCTGCTTTCACTCGTCTTTTGAGATGAAAAAAGATCTACAGAATTATAAAGTGGACCCAAAGCAAACACCCAAAGAGCTTAGAATTCTCACATTGAGGTTGACACTCGTGATTAGCGAAATTGCAGTAACTACACATGCTTCCATTCGGAACGGGATGCATCCAAACAGCAGTTTCTCCTCTAGTGCCTAGCAACATTATCATTGAGCACCTGGAATAGTTTAGGCATTAAGTGTAATTGGTTTTGCTTTACATAAATCTGTAGCTTTGTAAATAAGCCGAGCATTTCAGCTTCTCTATAACACCAATTAACTTAAAGGGATGCGTTGTTTGCAGAAGCCTGCTGGGTCTGTACTGTACTTCCCTGGTAATATGATCAGTGGCGGGCAAGGTTCTGTGTCCCTGTAGTGTTCCATTTACTCCCAGGCACTCGGTGCCAAGGGTCTGCACCCAGACACTCATTTGCTCTATTTTTCACTTGGAAAAGATTGGGGAAATGAAGCCTTCCCTAATAAGCGCCTTCTGTGCTCTATTTCTGTCCATGGCCGAGACCTGAAAGGCAGGGGATTTGGGATCGTTGTCTGTGACCTGCAGAGCACAGGTCTGACCCCATCTGCTTCTGACAGGGACATCTCTCTCCTCTTTTTTTCTTGTAACACTGCAGTCCAATGCAGCCAGAAGTCCCTATATTGAGCCTGTACACAAAATTAAGAAAACCATTTCTTATTATATGAAAATGCTTTCATCAGAGTTATTTTTTTTTTTTTTTGAAAAGCACTCGGAAATACACTTCTAGAAATTGGTAAATCTCTCCAAGCTCTTGGATATTTCCCCTTGCTATCTCTTTACTTGGCTTAATCCCTTATCTCTCATATCCCCTTCAGGTAATCTTGATTTATAGCATTCATTCCTCCCTGACCAACCTCTAATTCTCTTGGTTTCTGAAAGTGTTTTATTGACTATCAGATTAATGGTATCACCAAAAAAAAACAAACACAAAAAAACAGCTCATGATTCCCAAAAGTTTCCTGTTAATATTGTGTGATTCACAAATTGAAGGAAGGAGAATTACCCCTTCTGAAAACAGTCAAGTTTCCTTGTTCTATGAGAACAGAACTTTAGCGTTATTACTTGAACCAGTCCAGCAATGAGCAGTTTTCAAAGATTATATGAGCACTATGGACAAAGTAAATATTTTGACCAAGAGTCTGGCTACCAAATCCAGGGGCTAGCCCTTTCTACATAATTACTTCTAGTACAGCTATTGTCTATAATCTACACTAATAAAAGAGAAACATGGTAATTGGCGTACGACCGCTACCCTTTTCATTGGCTAATCAGTGAGTGTATGCAAATTAACTGTCAGCCAAGATGGCGGCCGGCAGCCAGGCACTGAAGCGAGCACGAGGCTTGCTTGCTGCAGACTCCAACGTTCCCCGCCACACTTGCCGGCCTCTCATCTGCAACTCTAAGCAACTATATACTATGTTGCAAATAAGAAGGTAAACAAAACCCCAGAAAACAGCCGGACTGAAACCCAGCCGGACCGAAACATTGTATCCATGTTTTCAGCAGCGAGGCCTCAGAGCTAAAGCTGGCCCAAAAAAAAAAAAAAAAAAAGAAAACAAGGAGCGGTTGGAAGCTTCAGTCACTCGC